ACTTCAGAAAGAAAAACAAACTAGAAGGTCTCTTGGGGAACTAGATAATATAAAAAAGTTACTGGATTTCTTACAAAAGCATTGTGGAAAAAGTTAAGTGTTACTTAAAGCTATATAATTTTCAAGATGGTTCTTGTCCTGCATTTAAAAAAAAAATTAAATATTTGACCACTTTCTTGTCCTTTTAGTCTTGCCTTATAGACTAGTGAAAATGTGATTTAGAACTAAACAAGCTCCTGACAGTTGAATTTGAATACTTCAGCCATGTCTTGAAGACCTGCCTCTAGGTGATAGCAAATAAAGTGTGTTGCTTTGTGCACAGGATGGGTGTGTTTTTATACATATTACTGTTTAAAGTGGAATCCAGATTTGACCAAAAATGACTGACATTACCAAAGTTAATATTATTGACCTGTGCATGCCATTAGTGGCTGGTTTTTAGGCAGTTTTAAAGACTCTTGTGATGTAGCTCTTGGAAACAAGGTTTCATGTGTCCACAGGAAATCTTTTGCCTCTGTATGTGATACTTCAGCTTGTAGAGACTTAATTATTGCATACAAAGCTAATGCAATATCAAGCTTAACTTCTTTGGACAAAGCCACTTGCAACTAGTTGAACAGTAACTGGTTTTCTGATTTACTTTTTTTTTTTTACAGTTCCCTTATAGGGAGTAGGGGATGGTTGTGTGGTAGATCTTTGAGGTGTGCTCTTAGCTTGTATTGCATTCCATTCTCTGTATAAACCTTAGAGTAGAATGAACCTTAATAAACATACTTATCTCACTTGAAATATTGGTGTTTCACTTCTGAATTAATAAAGGGCTTTTAAACTTTTGTTTGCAAATGGTTCTAGTTATTTGGAGCTTGACAGTTTTACTGTCACTTGTTGCTGAGTGTAGAAATAATAGCACTGAGGCAGTGGTTAATTGAAATAAAACGGATGTCAAGTTTGTAAGGGACTAATGCAGGGTACCAGTCAGACACAGTGGACAATTTTGAGATGAAGTTGGGTTATGGATAAATATCCAGAGAGATTTTTTGATGGCTTACCAAGATTGCCTACATTTTGGATGTAACCATTATGAAAGCATTCAGAATTTGCTCTAAAGCAGCATTCAAACCCATGCTTTGGGTAGAACTTCTCCTCACATCTGGTTTCTCAGGAGGTTGTGGGGCCTGCCTTTGTGCTGCTGTGCATTATATTGGATGTATCAGACATTGTCAGTGGGCATGAAATACTGCACTGCTGCACTTGGACATGCTGAAGCCTTTCCAGCAGCCTGCATTGCAAACAATGCACCTCAGTTTAGAAGTGCTACTAGAGGAAAATGTGATGGAAAATGTCCTCTCTGTGGCTGTTTGTAGTTAACATTCAGAAGCCTGGTGTAATTGTGCTTGGTGGCAGCAGCCTGTGTAAATTCCTTTGGGTGCTTGTCACAAGCCCATTGTCAATGTTTGTCAGCCTTGCAGGATGCCTCATGCTGCTTCAGGGTGAGAGAGGGACAAAGACACAGTTTATCTTCCTCACTGCACTGCTCCAGCTGTGCTGTGCCTGCATAACCACACCTGGGATTAAAGCTGGTACTTGTGAGAGCAGCTGGCCCAAGCCTGAGCTGTGCTGGAGCCCCAGGTTGTGGCACGTGGCTGGTGGCACTGAGGCACCTGTGTGGAGGTGCAGGAGGGCTGCTCTGTGTGCTCAAGGCATTGTGTGCTCTGTCACATCTGTAATGCTCTCGCTGGTCTTGGTAGTTAGGATTGCATACAACTGACTTGCTCTAATTGACATTCCCCTGCAGTAGTGACTCAGACTTCAGCCAGATTCAGGTTCTGTAGCTGCCTGGCAGGGATGTCAGCAGGAAAAGGCTGGTTTTGTGAATCTCTCAGTTGTCTTAGCCACTGCAGTACCACTAGTGCTCAGCTGTAGAGAAGGACACTGGGGAGGTGCTGAGGGTTTGGGCTGTCCTGTGGCTGCTGCCTGTGTTCTGTGCTTCAGCTGAACCTGCTCCTTGCTGCTCTGACAGGCACTGGCTGTGTGCTCTGAGACTGATTCCCACTGGTAAACTTTCTGTTGCTGTTTAACTTGTATTAAAGCTGGGGTTTTTTTCCCTAAATTTTTTTTTTTTAAGTCAGTGCATGATCAGGGATCAGGCTTTTCAAGGGATTGACTGTGGGGGTAGGGAGAAGCAAGGCTGGGTGTCAGTAGGAATTGTAGGAAAAAAGTATTTTCTTTGTACCCTTGGCTTAGTATTTCAGTCTTACCCATTGAAGGTTATTGGCAGTTATTCTAAAAACTGTTCAAACATACAAATGCTGAAGGGAAAAAACAAAAGCAAGCAGGAATCCTCTTGAATGCTAAGAAATAGTTACTTGAGAGCTTGATAGCATTATAACTTCCAGTGGCCTCTTTTGAACAGCCAGTCTGGCAATTACTTTATTTATAAAGCTATAAACATACTTTGAACATAAAAGCCAAAAAATACAAACTCAGTGAAGTAAAAAAATTACAACAAATGATGGATAGTCATTGGACAAATGAAGGTACAGCTGCAAAACATTTATCCCTGCTACATACATACAGTGGTTTTACTTGATTTAATGAAGTGGTACTTCCATGACTTCTACATTCAGACTGATTCCAGGAATTCAAATATGTATTTCAGGAAGAGTTAAAACTGCTGTAAAAGAACTAAAAAAAAATTTCTTGTTGAGATAAAAACTTCAGGGCAAAGTCTTCCTTTTATTAGAAAAGAGTATTAACACAAAATAGCAACACTTCATAGGGCAGTTTGAAAGACACTTTTTTGGGTATTTATAACTTTGTTTTGGCATTGGTTATCAGCCATGGGGCCATGGAACAGAAGTCAGTCATGCTCTTTTGTCTTGGAAAGGAGTGGCCAAACAGTATCTTTTCTGTGTTTTGGAATAAAAATAATGACATTTTCTCAGTTTCCCCAGTATAAACTGGGTGCAGTTTATCACAAGTGGGTGTTTTGAGTTTATCCTGCAGCAGTGGAAGCACAGGGTGAGCTCTGGCCTGTATGTATAGAGCAGAGCACACAGTGCTGAGTGTGACTGCTCCAGCTCTGGGGCTCTGGAAATGCTGCTGTGCCACGGGGGCACAGGCAGGGGCTCCCGGAGAGGGGTGTTCGGTGTCACTGAGGAGCTTTGGCAGGAATCAGTGGCATTACAGTGGTGAGAGGAGGCTGTAATGCAGGAGAGCCTTTTGCTGGTGCAGACAGGGACTCCACACCATGGAGGGGCCAGAGGAGCCTTGAAATATATGGGTGGAAGTCCCGGGGGTGAAATGAACCAGGGCTGGTCTGGGTGCCTCGCCAGTTTAATACTGATCAGGACTTGCCCTGAAATTTCCTCTGGTGTTATTTAGACACATCTGCCTTTTCTACCTGCCTTTGCTTTGCTGCTAAGTTCCATCTGTCATCCAACCATGCAGTAGCAGTTGGGTGTTGAGTTGCACCAGCCTTACACCCAGGATGGGGCACACCAGGCTGTGGTGGCTGCTCTGTCATCTCTGGTGTTTCCAGGAGGTGACACTTAAAGCACCTTACAGCAGAGGGTCTCAGAGTGACAAATGATGAGCTGAAACACAACCATTTTTAAAGCTGTTTCTTTTGTTTGAAAATCATATGATTAAAGAGACCATATCAGGTCTGGCAGGTCTACTGAGTTCCTCTGTTCAGCACCAGAACATGCTGTTGGCTAAGCTTGCTAAAATAATTTAAAATGAGCAGATTGCATATTGATCTAGTGCTATGTAATTAACCCTCTGAGTGCAGTCAGTACAAAAGTGTACAGTTGGCATTGCATCAGGTAATGCTACTTCTCCAAGGGTTAAAATGATTCAAACTTCAAAATGACTCTTTGCAAACTTTCAGGTTTGTGCACATAGCTTTCTGTCAGTGCTTCTGAAGTTACGTTTATACAGGAGAGGAATAAAGAAACAGGTTTAGATCTTCAAAACTAAAACCAGAAATAAAAAATCTACACTACTAGAAGCAAAACCATCTAAACAAAGGGACTAAAGCCAAAGCTGCTCTACAGACTAGTTAGGTTTGGCTTTTTTTAATTTTTAAATCTTTGAGGCATAAAGTTGGTTAAAAAGTTACGTTTAATCCAATGTAAAAAATTATGGTTTGTGTTTTTGCATTAAGAAAAAATATAAAAATAGTTTATACATTATAAAGGTCATCTTAAATTTCTTGCAGTTCTACAATAATATTACTACATAATTTGTATTCAGTACTCCAAAACCCATCTATCAAGTAAGAAAAAAATAGTGCCCCCTCTACCTCTGTGTGGTGTCATTTTTCTCTTCAGCAGTCTGGAATAGATTTCTTTCAAACAGGAAAAAAAGTCTGCACTGGACTAGACTGTGGTCTCTGAGAAGAATGTAAACCTGAAGTAAATCCAGAACTTGGAATTATTTGGGATTTACATCAGTTCATGGAGATCATAATCCATCCACAGTGTTTTTTGTTTTTCAAACTCAAAATATAAATACAATACCAGAAACTGGTAAAGCTGGAGAGAATACATGAACATTTGGCATTGTCATTGGGGTGGAGGGAGAATCTTTTACAAAAAGCTAGAATAAGGTTTTTTAAAAAGTTCTACACTGAAGCATGACAAAGAGGGTTCTTATCTCACCAAGGGTATGTACAGACAGATGCTACAGAGCAGGGCAGTGAGTGCTGCTGTGCTGCCAGGAGAGCTCACACCTCCCCCTGAGGGACCTGCTGGGCCAGCGTGGGTCTCTGCCCTGGGCCAGGGAGATCCTGGGGCTGCTGGGGCTGCTGGCTCCCCACATGCCCTGCCCTGCTCACTGCTGTGCAGGTGCAGAGCTCAATCAGAGCCCACAAAAGCAACAGACTGATTTGTGAGGCTGTGGCCAGTCTGTCTGGATGGATTTCTGACCATCCACATCTGCAGAGGGCAGATGCTGCACCTGCCCAGTGTCCTGAGCAACCAGCAGCCCTTCCAGCAGCCAGTCCGTGCTCCTTTGCCTGGCTGGTGCTCCCTTTTCCTCTGCCTTGCTGTACAACCATGGAAGGGAACATGTCTGCACAGAGACCTGTTACCTGCAAACAACATCTTCCTGTTCTCAAACAAGAAGTTCAAAAAATTCACCTCATTGCTTTAAATATTTAATTTCTGTTTTACCGTGTCAGATCAGAACGCTGGCATCGCTTTGTTTCCTTTTCAGACATCTGGGCTTTTAAAAAAATTTTCCTATTCCAGCTTTTCCAGCTCCTTGGTGTAAGGGCTATGGGACATCTGTGAGTGACTACTCTTTGAAGCAGCTCGGAGGGCAGGGAGTGGAAGCCAGGGTTAGACTGACAGCACCTACCACCTACAGCAGCAAGCTGGGGATGTGGCTCTGCTCTCTGCCACGCGTGGAGATAATGCAGTAAAAAAGAAACCAAAACAAAACCCCAAACAAACAAAAAAAAGCATCACAGGGCAGGGACAAAAGGCTTGTTTACTCATCAGCACTTTAACTTTTGGCAAGTACTTATTTTTTACCTTTTTTTTTCTGAAATTGCTTTTCTATCTTTATCACCCCTCCCCTCCAAAAAAACCCCAACCAAGTGAGTTTTCCATCATCCTTAAGTCATCCTGTGGCCAAACTTTGCATGTTTTACAGTGAGATGGGGATTTGGCTGTGCCTCTGGTCCTCGTCCGGGGGCAGGTAGGGACTATGTCCCCGAGGAGGTGCGGCTGTAGGCGGGGGGCGCCGAGCAACGCCGGGCGCCGGGTCTGGAGGGGCCGGAGGCGGGCGGGAGGTGCGCGGACACGGGGCAGGGGTCGGGCTGGTCGCGGTGCGCGGGGTCGGCGGGGGCTGCGAGCTGCTCTGACGGGAAGGCGGAGGGGATGCATCGGAGTGCGTCCGGTGGGGATGGAGGGGAGTCTATAGCACTTCCATCGGAAGAAACTGGGCTGGCACAGCGTCCTTCTCCTTGTAGGTACCGAATGCACTTCTTTTTCCTCCTGGAACAGCAGAGAGAGGTCTGTGAGTAACGAGAGGGTCCCGGCAGCCCCGCCGCCCCCTGATCCCCGCGGGGCCGGGGCGGCGCTGCAGCGCTGCGGGGACGCCGCCAGGCGGCGCCAGCGGGCCGGGAGCGGCGCCCGCGGGGAGGGGCTCGGCCAAGGGAGAGGAGGAGGAGGAGGAAGGCATGGAACACGAGTAAACATCACAATGCCGTGATAAAAATGAAAACACAAAAAAAAACCCAAAAAAAAAGAAGAAAAATAAAAGCGCCCCCCGCCCCAATTAATAGTTATCAAAGCCATGAAAGGAAAATAATAATAAAAAAGCAAACCAATACAATTTTAAAATAATAATATAGATAATAATAATAAACACCTCGAAAATAAAAAAAAAATCGGAAGGATAATAAAAATGCAACCCATGAGGTCATTCCTCACCAGCCACCACCCCAAGTACTTGGATTCTGTGTGGGTGCCTGGCTCTCACAAGTTTAGGATTAAAGCATTCCCCTCATGGATCCCCTCCTGAGCTGCCACAGAGCCCACGCAGGGCCCACGGGACAATGGTGTGCACTGGTGTCACAGAGCACATCAGCACCACTGTGCTTGGCAGCCCCAGGCTGTGTTCTGCCAGGACAGTGCTCCTCACACCAGTCTTGGCTTTTCTCATCCCAAAATCGCAAGCTTCCAAGAGCTCATTTCCCAGCACTTTCCTAGCCTTGTGCACAGTACCATCTACCTAGAACCACAGACTGGTTTGGGTTGGAAGGGATTAATGCTCATCCCATTTCAACCTCCCTGTCATGGGCAGGGACACCTTGCACTAGACCAGAGGTTGCTCCAAGTACCATCCAACCTGGCCTTTGCTCTCAGCTCTTCTCTTCTGCTCTGAGTTCTCTCTGCATGTGAGTGTACTTCCCATTCCTCCCCACCTCCAAGGACAACTCAGTGATACAGCTGGGCAGAAATGTGCTCAGCGACCATTCAGGAAAAGGGAAGGAAATGGGCTGGGATTGGCTGGAGGGAGATGGTCTGAGGGTGTCTGAGGTCCTGCTTTGAAAACTGGAACAGTCCTGAGGCCTTCAGAGGCCTTGTTGCTCCTTGGAGGGCAGATCACCTTAAACCTCACTGAGCTGAAGGAAAATCAGCCCTGACAGAGCTACCAATGACACTTCAGCCCATGGGGATCCTGGAGAGGAATGTTGGCTGTGACCTCCCCTTGGGATGTGACCTCTCCTTGGGAAGTGCAGTACAAAATGCAACATGGGCAGACACCAGGGACAGAGACTGGCAGAATGGCCCTGCAGTTGTGACAGAGTCAGTTCCATGCTCCCATTCTGTGGAGTGTGACAGAGCTCATCAGCTGGGGATGGCTTTACTGACCCAAAGGGGTTTCTACAGGACAGTACCCATTGGGGGCAGCTCTCCTCCCCCAGCCCTGCTCTTCCAGCAAGAAATCTGCTGGGACTGGGAAGGTCCCTAAGGCAGCAGCACCTGCCTTAGGGAGCAGGGACCAGCACCCCTTAGTCCCTCCTGGAAGAAACACTCAGGTTCCCCACGTTTGTGTGTTACGATTTGGGGGTATCAAAAATACAAGTCACACATCATCCTTGCTGTAGCTGTGTTTGGCCATGATTCCTTCAGATCCTGTAACAATTTTGCCAGTATTTATCCTGAGTTCCAGGTGTCACCTTGTACATCCAGATTGTTTTAACTACCCCTGGTTGTCCGGATTCAGTTCCTCACACTATCTTGTCTTCACTGTTTGTTGAGCTGGTTTTCTTTCTCTCCATGTGACAAATCCCTCATGTCACCTCCCTTGAGTCCTTGAGCACCTCAGAATAGATCCTCAAACAAAAGAGCTCTCAAGATGTCATCTTAACAGTACTGAAGGGACAATTCCTCTGCTGGAGCCTTTACAGCTAGAACAGGTGAAAGAACATCTCCCAGCCAGCTCCTGCCTCACTGTCTCAGCTGAGGAGAATGGATCCAATGGAGAACTTGCTAATGTGGGCACACAGCTGTCTTTGATCTGCCTAATGAAAAACCAACTGTGAGGATGAGCATTAACTAGTCCAGTATCAAACATGACTTGCACTGGAAGTGAACAAGAGCAGTGCTGTTACTGCTGTCAGTGCCATGTTAGCCCTGCTGACCCAATTAATGCAATAGAGAACACGAATTATTTAACTCCAGGGTATTTTCCATGGGCAGTAATTCCCCAGGGACAAGCCTGAGGATGAGCTGTGTTTCCCAGAGATATCTTGGGAGCAGCTGCAGGATAGAGTTTCAATGTTTAAGATTACAGGAATGTGCCCATTGATTAATTAGATTTAAAGTTCCAGGGGGAAAAAAACAGATGTGATACTACAGACTGCTGATAACGGCCCAGTCCATGGGTTATGCTGAGGTGGGTGTTACAGAGGTGGGTGTTATCCCTCTCTCTTTAAGGGAACTTATCCATCTCACTTTGGAAACTACAGCACCCTGGAGTGTTTGTCCAGGCTGTGGGGGAGGAGTGTGAACAGGAACACCCAGTCTTAGCCAGTTACCCTCTCCCATGGAGGGGAGATCCTCCTGGGGAGGTTGTTGTGCACAGGTGAGCAGAGCCCGTTGGGCAGGAGCCCCCGAGTGGCAGCAGCACAGTTAGTACAGAATTGCAGAGCAGCTCTGGCTGGCCAGGGCTGGGTTACAGGGGCACACGGAGGAGCATGCCAAGGTGCCCAGGCACTCCAGCAGCCTGTGTTAATCAGGAAGCCGTGCAGAGGAGAAGCTGAGCTCAGAGCTGGAATGGAGGCAGAGGGAAGGGGGAAGGAGTGTCCGTGGCAGAGTGGGGCACTCAGCCTGGCAGCACAGCTGCAGGGGGCACAGGGCACTCCAGCAGCCCCCTCTGGCATTCAGGCATTAATGAAACACTAAGGGAGCTCTGCCTGGATTCTTAATTAAAAATGGTGCTTGATGACACTTCCCAGGGAATGAAAGGCAAACAGGGAGCTCTGCTGTTGTGGCACGCTGAGGTGCAGGAGGGGACTCAGCCACAAGGACTGGAGCTTGGAGTGCAGCAAGGTATGGGTCAACTAAATGATTTTAGTCACTTCAAGATGAAGTGAACACATCAACCAGTACTTTACTTCCACCCTTTCCCTCATGCATTGGTGTAAAACTACAAATTGCAGATGTCTGTCTAAGCTGGAGTCTCTCTGTGCTCTGGCACCCAGATCCAGAAGCTCCCAGGAGCTTTCTTTGCCTGCCTTTGCAGCCCCTCTGAGCCCAGCAGCACCTGGTTGATGGGAATTTTACTATTTCTTGACCAGATCCATCTCTGGGAGCCTGAGGAGCACAACACTGCTCTGTTTTGCTGCTTGAGGCTGTCCCACCCCACCCATGGTGGGTACTGCAAAATTTAGTGCTCAGGAAGAGATGGATCTTGAAATACATGATTAGCCCAGTATAAATAGGAAAAAAATCGCAAACATTAAATCCTCACTTGCTGGCCCTACGGTGCCACTAATGCCATTGGAAAGCACTAATGGAGGAAAAAACGCCTCATATAAGGGTCACAGAGGTCTCCATCCTGGAAATAAATTTTAAGACCAGGGAAGTCTATGAGCTGAGGAATATGTACGGCACTAAACCAACACTGCCCCAGGAGGGATAAAAACCTTGCAGCACAGCAAACTCCTGAGGATGCCCAGAGCACAGCCCATCCCTGCCTGGTGCTGGGATGGCTGCAGGGGGACACCTGGAGCTGACCCCCTGTCCCAGGAACACCCGCAGCGAGGAGGAGATGCCATACACACCTGCACGGGCCGCACCAGTCCGTTTGTTGGTTGAGGCCAAAGCGAGCTCTGCATTTCTTAGGAGAGGCAGGATCTGAACACAGAAGCATGCGCGGCGAGAACGGGCAAGGCAGAGGCACAAAGAGGAGGAGGAGCAAGAGGAAGAAAAGAGGCAACATCATTTTAGCCACTGTGACACACGGCTAACACACTACAATCCCATTATTTTCTGCTACAGAATGGCGCCGGCACCACCTGCAAGAAAGCGATCGTTAGGCAAATATCAGTGATCACTGCTGGCAGCTGGAGGTGGTTTGGGAAACAGCTTTGAGGAACGTGGGCAATTATGGGGAAATTCACAGCTCTTCCAATTTCTTAAGTCTGGAAAAGCTGCCAAATCCCGAGGCAATGCCTGGCTCCTGTATCTGCATCCTTGCCGGCTCCCTGCCCTTCCAGCAGACACCACCGGGCTGCGCACCGAGAGAAGAGGAGGAAACGTTGCAGAAGCAGGCTGAAAGCAGAGTTAGCACCACGGAGACCTGGCCCAGCTATTCCACTCTGCCCCATCACACCCCTTCCAGTTTTAATGGAAAACCTGCTCTCCACGGCCTGCCCTAAAACGCTGCTGTTGTGCTGTGTAATTACAGGACTCATTAGGGTGAAGCCCTGTTTGCTTTCAGGCACATCGTGTTTCTCTCTGGTGTTGGGAATGAGATTGAACAGCACATTTCTGTGCTGGATTCAGCCTCTCTCTTTAACCACCATCAATGAATGTCTCCTTGTATACAACCAGTAGTTGGTTTTCAATCTGTAACAGGTGAAATTATAATTTTTGTATCACACAGACATATATATGGATATATAAAAATATACAACGCACTCTACATAAAGGCCTAAAACCTTGTATTCTTCTTATCAAACTCGGCACTGAATGAGATCAACAGTGTTAATTAAACTGAAGGTATTACTGGGACACATCTCTTGATAATGATTCCTTTTTTAACTAATATTTATTGGTACAGATAATATTTATTCCTGCTATGGCAGAAATACTTTAGAAATCAGCACATGAATAGCCTTGGATGATGGGAATGTGTCTGTGACCAGCTGAAATCTGTCAAAAGGGCCTTTTCTAATTGGGAGGGCGGTACAGGGAGGTGGGGTTTAGTATGACTTTGCTTCAACTCTACATTACTTTGAAATGACAACCAAAGTTGGAGTAGTCCCATGAATGATCTTCAGTCCTGCCACTACATTTCATCCCACACACAATATGGATGCATTTGAGAGGAGTTTTCTTTAGTTAATATCATCTGTAGCTCTGATGGGGACATTCACCTTGGATGTTTTCAATAAAGTTTAGTGATAGTTTATATGAAATTATTATACATTTGCCAAAATCCAGTCTTTTCAATTTTCACATGCTACTCGTGTTCTAAATCAAACATGTCTATTAAAAAGTCACAGAAATGTTAATTTACCACGGCTTAAAAAAATAATGAGTGTGTATTTCTCTAGTTAAGCTCTGGAGAATAAAAGAAAACATGGTGAAACACAACAACTGCTTTGGATTCTCCCATCTGAGCAGGAACAGCTGCCAGGCTGCAGGCACTTACCTGAGCTGGAATCTTGCTGCTTTTCCCGTGTTCGTCTCTTCTTCTTCCCCTAGGAAATCAAAGGGAAGGCTGTTACCTGTGCTCCAGAACAATGAGGGTGCTGTGCAGGGTTTTTGGGCTGGACTGGGTGCTGGGGATGGCTGCTGCCTCCCAGGTAAGAGCCATGGTGCTGCTGGCTCAGCCCATTCCAGGAGCAGATGAACTGGAAAAGGCTGCAAAGGGACTGCTCAGGTTTATCTATGAGGGTGTCTCTTCCTTTTCCCTCTTCCCATTCCAACTCTCCTAAGAAGAAACTCAGGAGGAACTCTCAAAGTGAAACCCAAACCCAAAGTGTTTTTGGGCACTTGCTATGGCTTCTGCACAGCACTAATTCATTCTGGGCTTGTGCCTTTTCTCAGGGATTAACCCTCATTTCCAATATCCCCAGATCCAGCACCACAGGCACTTTGGCTCAGCACTTTGAGTGATATCTGTGCCTATTTAGAAACTGCAATAAACTCAAGAGGTGGTGGCAGCCATGTCCCCACTCCTACCCCCATGCCTGCTCCATTTTCTCCCCAACACACTGCTCCATGCTCTGCTTCAGGAGTCCAGGACTATGCTGCAAACTCAGTTAAGACCCAGATCTATGGTGCAGGCTGTGTCAGAAAGTGTGAGGGGAGATGTTAGTGGATGTGAACCAGCTGTAATAAAGCCAGTGCCTGTGCCTGTGCCTGTGCTGCTCAGCACCTCTGCCAGCTCCCACCAGAACTCCTCAGCCCTCTCTGATGCATCTCATCTGGGGATCCCACCCATTACTGCTTTAGTTAATGAACTGATGATTTAATTAATATGTTTAATGAGAACAACAGAATCAAACAAGATTTGCTGCATGCAATGGAGAGAGTATGATCAATAGCTGATGCTCCTGTCATATTCTTATTCCTGCTCCTTTTGTTTCTAAAAAGCACTTGTCCATTTTAGAACCTTCCCTATTTCCAAAACATGCATTAATGTGGTGTCTTATACCCAAACTGAAACTACAGCACCCTGGTTCTTGATATTCCCTGGTTCCAAATGGGAAAGAAAGTTTTAGGAAATCCTCAGAAATTTATTTTTAAATAATACTAATCTATTTCAGTACTTTTGTAGTTCTGGACCCATCTTTCATTCTTTTTTCACTAATAAAAAAGTCCTATTTTATCCCCAAACTGCCTCCCTGATTCACAAGATGCAGCACCTCCCCATGCCCCCTAGAGAGCTGATTAATGAGGGCACAGCAGCACGGAAGCAAATCTGGCTGTGTGGCACAGACAGCTCCCAGGGTTGCCTTTGACCTGTGACTTTTTATATGACTTCTTGTGGTTTGAGTGAAGGTGGAAAGCTCTGAGCTGTGGTGAGCTTTTCCTTCAGAGGGGGAGCAGCTGTATTTCCTGCCTGATTTCTGCATCACGTGCTGCACCAGTGACCTACATTCCTCCTCCTCCTCCTCCTCATCCCTGCTCAACTTCAGAGAGAGAAGCATCTCTTCCAACAAGCACAACACCCAAACCAGCTGGTTCACAGTGCTGGGAGCACCAATATGCACTTTTAGAGCCCACCATCTATCTTCTGGAGAAAGGAACCAGCCCTGGTTCCCCAAGGAACCAGATGAAGATGATACAGGACTGAGATTTCCATGGAGGATGTGCTTGGCCTTGGAGGAAGATGGTGCCATGCTCTCAGCAATGCTGATGCCCTCCAGATGTGTGCCCATCAAAATGTGGGCTGGGGGATTCCCATCACCTCTGCCCTCTGTTTCTGGGGGGAGTTTGGGGTGGTTTGGGTCTGTTTACAGGTGTTTTCTTGCCCTTGGTGGAGTTCTGTCATTCTGGAAGGAGGGCTGGAGTCAGTGTGGGAAGGATGGGCACTCACTGTGCAGTTCCCAGGGGTAAGAAAGTGTCTGAGGGAAATGATGGAGTGTGTGGATGGGAAATGGTGGAGTGTGTGGATGACAGACATCTGAGGATTTATGTGTGCTTTGCTTCAGTTCACTGATGAGCTTGTTAGGCATGTAATATCAAAACAGTCGTGAAAGTCACAAGAAAAGGCCCCCTACAAAAAGAGCCACTATTTTAAATCACAGAATCCTAGAATTATTTGGGTTGACAGTGACCTCGAAGACATCCTGCTCCAACCCCCTGACATGAGCAGGGACACTTTCCACTACCCCAGGTTGCTCCAATCCCTGTCCAACTTGACCTTGAACTCTTCCAGGGATGGGGCAGCTTCTCTGGGCAACCTGTGCCAGGGCCTCACCACCCTCACAGATACCTCAGCTGCTGTCCAAGATGCACAGACCTGTTTGCGTCCAAAAAAATACATTTCCAAAGATATATCCACAGCACTTAAAACCTTTTCTTCCTTTGTATTTGCTTGGACAATAAGCAAATAAAAGCTTGTGATTGCTGGGGGCTGCATCATTCATTCTTTAGACAGGGATAAAGGTGTTCAAAATACTCCTGAAATGTGAATTTCTATGGCTCTGGTGCTGCCAGGAATGGCATTTCCAGGCCCAGGTGTTTGGTTAACACCAGCCAGCCCCCCAGGCCATTGTGGGGCATGCCCAGGGTGGGGGTCCCAGCACAGGGGCACTCAGGGGGCACTCACGTAGTTGTCTCTGGCAGACCAGCCGGGGTAGAGCTGCATGTGGAGCTGCCGTTCCTTGCGAGCCAGTTCGTAGTACTTGGCCTGTTCCTCCCGGGACAGAGCGTGCCACTGCAGGGACAAACAGCACTGAAACGTGGCCCTGCTGTCCCCTGCCAGCCCAGCCCTGCTGCCCCCTGCCAGCCCAGCACAGCATGGCCACCCCGCCCCAGGGCATACCCAGCCCCTGTGTCCATGGGATAAGAGCAGATGCTTGTTATGTATTTAATAGCAGCTGTAAGGGACAGGGATGTGGCACCAGGTGATGACAGTGGCCCCATGAGCTCTTACCCTCCTGCCCAGGATCTGGTTGATGGCAGCACTCTCCTTCAGGGTGCACTCGGCGATGACTTTCGCCCGCATTTCTTTCATATACAACATGAAAGCGTTCAGGGGCTTCTTAATAGTGGGCTTCTTGGCTTCCTTCTCTCTCTTTGGTTCTGGCTGAGGTTTCCTTGGTGGGACAAAAGGAGGGGCTGTCAACATCAGAGCCAGCAGAAGACTCGACCCCAAACAGCCCAACAGCACGAGCAGGTGGGGGGGGTTGATCTGAGATTTGCTCCTCAGATGCACAGCTCAATGTCCATCCATCCTCCCCCTGTGTGAGAACTGAGAGTGACAGATGAAATGGGAGTTGAGGAGCTGCTGCTGCTGAGCCAGCACTTCCCACTCACATGTTTCTGTCGTAGTGCTCCATCTCTTGCTTGCCAGAGTGGGGCACGATGGCGGGGTGCGGGATGCCGGTGGTGTGCATGCCAGAGCCCAGCATCAGAGGGTGAGTGAACCTGCAACAGAGAGCAGGTGAGCTGTGCCAGGGGGCTGCAACAGAGCAGGTGAGCTGTGCCAGAGGGCTACAACAGAGAGGGGGTGAGCTGTGCCAGGAGGGCTGTGCCGGGCTGAGACATGGGCATCTCTCGGGGTGCTGGGCAGCCAGGGCATCCCTGAAAGTGCCAGGCAGCCAGGGCATCCCTCGGAGCACCAGGCAGCCAGGGCATCTCTCAGAGTGCCAGGGCATCCCTCAGGCAGGCAGGTTGTCCCTCGGAGCGCGCTCTGACGCGGCGAAGCACACGGAAAGCGAGGACATGGAAAGCACACAGTGCTGCCTGGCTGGAGGGGGGCAGGCACTGCCCACCACCCCTGGGTCACCCTTATGGCATGGCTGGTCAAGCTGTGGGCACGTGGATGGAAAGGATCCAGTGCCACAGCGATCCCTGCAGCAGGAGCCAGCCTGGCGGAGATCAAGGGTGCTTTCACCCAGCAGTTTCAGCTGCTCAGGTCTCTATTGTTGCACTATCTCATTAGCACTGCAGAAAGGAACAACAAACTCCTTTGGGAGTTTGGGTTTGGATGGGAGAGATTAGGACCACCCCACACCTTTCTTTTAACAGAAATAGACTAAGTCTGAACACGAACCCAACTGCAACTCTAGGAGGTGCACCTTGCCTAAGCAATGCTCTCCATAACGTGGGCTGAGATCATGAGAGGTCTCATTAGCTCTGAGGCTTCATTAGCTCTCTCCCGAGTTCTGGAGGATAAAGCCAGCAAAGTCAGCTTTGCCAAGCTTGCCACTTTATGACTGCAGCTTGAGATGGCAGAATTGCCCATGGGAGATGAACTGTTCATTAGATATGCTGGCACGAAAAGAAAAGCTGTTTAATTTAATCCACCAGCACAGCCTGATCCTTATCTGGCCAGGTGTACTTTCTCGGCTGCAGCAGCAGTGCTGCAAAATCCACCCCAAAATCCTGCAGGCAGGAGCTCAGGGAGGCTGCTGGGGCTCCACAGGGAACCGTTAGCTCCTCTTGCCTTCACTTTTGAGGCTGTGCATGGGTCATACCTCATGAGAAAGGAGGGCTGGCAGCACTCCCTTCCCTCTTCTGCAAGGCTAAGGGGCTGCATGGATCAAGGCATGCATGGATCAAGTGTTGTACGGATCGAGGGTTGCATAGATTCAGGTTTCTGCGTGGCTAAGGGCTCACCTAGCAAGGGTTTGCATGGTTTTCCTGTGGGACATCTCCACTAACAGCCCTTCAGGACAACATGAAGCAGAAGCAGAAGCTGATATGGCCCTGGTGAACCTATGGGACCAGGAGGGCTTTGCCCAGCAGCACGCCTGGAAGAGCTGGGCTCAGTGATTCCCATCCACAGGGGATGCATTTTGCTCACCCAAAGGCAGAAGCTGTGTTTGTATCTCACAGAAATGACTTGTTCTGATAGGAGGGCAGCAAATCACTGCCCCCTCCTGTCCTGCTTTTAAAGCTAAGACTAGGTAAACCAGATCCATCTCTGCAGAGCAAAGCGCTGGTGGCAGCAGGGACACATTCAGGGTTAGTGACACGGAGCAAAGTCCTGAGCCATGGATTCCACCCCATTTCCCAGTGCTGAGCTGAAAGCTGGAGTTTTTGACTCTCTTTAGAGCTCTGCTGAATAAAACCCAACCCTTGTGCATCCTTCATCCTCAATACTCCCCTGAGCACCCCTTGGACCAGACACTGCCTAAAAGCGCCTTCTGTCCCCGTGGCTGCCCTGGGAGGGTGTGTGGCTGTCCCTGGGTGGCTGTGGTCTGCTGCAAGCTCCTGCTGCACAAACTGCAAGCTGCACGACCAGCTGAGCTGCCCTGTCTGCCACAGCTGATACTCACCTGGAGAAAGAAGCCCCAGCAGAAAGCGCTGACGAGTACGGCTGTCTAAATCCACATGACGGGAGCGGATAGACAGACTGGCTCTGCCTGGGATCAGGAAGAAAGAGTCTATAAAGCATCCACAGCCACGGGGTGTTTCCTAAAGATACCCTTTGCTAACGGGTTCAGAGCACTGATGCTCCTGGCTGGGTGGATGGACACTCAGTGTCCCTTAGGCTTGAGGGGCAGTGTGGGCTTTGGGGGTTATTTTGAGAGAACCTGGGCCTTCCTACAAAGGATCCAGTTCTGAACCCCTCTGCCCCTGGTACTGACTAATGCTGCAGCTCTGAGTTTACCTGGTAACAATGCAAAGTGCAGAGGCATGCTGAAAAATCAGGAGATGTTGCTATTGTACAGAAGAAGTTGCTCAAAAGAGCACAGTGTGACAAAAAAAAAAAAAAAAGAAAAAGAAAATTAAAGCCTGCTCAGATTCTTTATATGGTGCATAAGAAGCTGTACCAGGAGGATAAATATAAGTAAAAATTCCTTACTGTGCAGTGACCAAGCACTGGAGGATGTGGGACCTCCCTCACTGAAGATATCTCAGGATTGCCTGGATGCAATCCTGTGCCATGTGCTCTGGAACAACTCTGCTTGAGCAGGGAGGCTGGGCCAGGTCACCCACTGTGGTCACTTCCAACTTCATTTACTCTGTGATGCTGTGATGCCCCAAGCACAGGAGACTCCTGGAGCCTGGAGAGGAGGTGGCTACCCTGCCTTTGTGCTTCAGGAATGCTCTGATTTCCTCAGCACACCCTTTTAAGGACACCCATCAGTTTTAAAGAAGCCAAAATCTCAGTCCTGCATTCTTTTTGAAAGCTGTTTCATACTGGGGACCAGACATGTATCAGACCTGCGGCTGGAAATTATTTTTGAGATAGTAAAATAACTATGCAGGAAGTTCCTTGTTGTTCCCAGCAAGGGAACCCCCGCATTTTCATATGGAAATAGCTCAAAAATACCTTGGATTGTTCTGCAAACCTGCCAAAAGATGCTTCTAGCCTAAAACTGCACATGGAGATCATAGAATTACAGAATAGTTTAGGCTGGGAGGGAGCTTAAAGCTCATTCCAACCCACCCTGCCATGAGCAGGGACATCTCCCACTAGACCAGGTTGCTCCAAGCCCCATCCCACCTAGCCTTGAACACTTCCAGGGATGGGCACAATGGGGTGCTCACAACTGTGCTGGTACTTATGCTCCTCTAGCCAGGCTGCACAGAGCTGTACCTAAACCCAGGACCACCTATTTTCAGCTCTAATGATGAAAAAAATCCATAAAAAGTCCATTGTCATTAAGTGGGGTGCACTGTGAAGGACCCAAGCTCCTGGATGCCTGGGATTTTTGGGGCTAAAGAGAAGTTTCTGCTCTGAAGAGGAATAATGGCAGCAGGGCAGCAACAGGCCCCTGAGCTGTGCTGGGCAGGAAGGAGCCTCCTGCTCCTGCTGCTGTCTGAAATCCTCCTGGCTGGACTGAAATCTGTGGGATGTGTCTGCAGGAAAGGCAGCCAGGGCTGTTTACACCCTGGCAGGCAGGAGCCCTCTCCGACCCCTCAGATGTCGGGGGTATAAACACACCAACAAACAGCGAGCACCAGGAAACCCAAACAGCCTTTGAAGGTGGAGGCAGCTGCCCCAGGGCCGAGAAAACACTTGGAGCTCATCCAGGAGAGACCTGGGTTACTCCAGGGGCCAGGGTATTGGGATGGGAATGGAGTCAGGCACTCGCAGCTTCATCCAAAGTCCCTCTGACATGAAAATTAAAGCAACTGCAAAATCAGTCCCTGATGGTTGGGAGTGCACGACTGCAGCCCATACCATGGAATTACTGGTCTGGGTTGGAAGGGACCTTAAAGCTCATCTCATTCCAAGCTCCTGACAAGGGCAGGGACACCTTCCACTAGATCCAGCTGCTCCAAGCCCTGTCCAACCTGACCATGAACACCTTCAGGGATGGGGCAGCTGCAATGTCTCTGGGCAACCTGTGCCAGGGCCTCACCACCCTCTGTGTAAAAAACTTCCCAACATCTGATCTAACTTTCCTCTTTTATTTCAAAACTGTTCTCCCTTGTCCTATCTGCCCATATAAAAAGTGCCTCTCCCTCTTTTTTATAAGCTACTTTTAGGTATGGGAAGGGGCTCTGAGGCCTCCCTGGAAACTTCTCCAGGCTGAACAACCCCAGCTCTCTCAGCCTGTTTGCAGAGGATCAGCTGGTGATGGGAGGGTGGCTCAGGAAAGGGCTGTGGGATGCTGGAGGAGAGGCTGCCCTGGCACCACTGAGCTCGGCCCCGGGCACAGGTGAGTGACACGATTTGCAGGTTCCTGGCTGATGTTTACTGCCAGGCTCCCATAAGCAAAACTCACTTGACTGGACTCTTGGAAGCTTTTATCTGACTGTCATCCCAGCTTAATTACAGAGAGAGTGATTGCAGCTCCTCCTCCTGAAGCGCTCGGTGAGAACAAAACCAGTTTGTGCCCAGCTCCTGCCTGCCAGCTTGTGGAGGAAAAGTTGCTTCCCATGTGTGGCTGCCTTGGCCTGGCAGCTCCTTGGTGGCACCAGCACAACCACAGAATCCTGGAATGGTTTGGGTTGGGAGGAACCTTGAAGATCATCCAGTTCCAATGCCCTGCCATGGGCAGGGACACCTTCCTCTAGCCCAGGTTGTTCAAGATCCCATCCAGCCTGGCCTGAACACTTCCAGGGATGGGGCAGCCACAGCTTCTCTGGGATGCATCCCTGGCATGACCATCCCCAGCACACCCATCCCTGGCACACAGCCCCTGGATGCTGCCATGAGCCTGCCAGGCTTCAGTGCTCCTGCACCCACCCACAGCAGTGCTGAGCCTCAGCTGAGCACTGGGCACTCCATGGGGGGGCTGGGGCTCTTCCACACGTTCCAGGCAAGGAAAAGAACGAGCAAAACTCTGTTAGACACACATGCCTCAAGGTGCTGCTCTCTGCATGTCAGGCCCTTTGCTGCTTTACCATATCTGCTCCATTAATGAAGCCATTAATGAAGCCATCTGATGAGGCTGCAGGAGGATGCCAAACCCCACGGATACTGGAGCAGCTCTCAGCCATGAAAGCTCTCTCTACCACCAACTGCCCCACAAAATCTCCATAAAAAACCAGACTGCTCTCCCTTCATGAGCCCAGGGATGTCTGAACAGCACCATCCTAACCCAGGATGGACCTTCCATTTGACAAACAGGCTCCTTTCTCCCCACTCCCACTGTTTCTTTCATGTTACAGCAGAGTCACCCCAGTCCTTGTTTTTCCTGAGGATGAATCACATCATATGAGGAGTTAAATCATCACCCAAGAGTAGCAGATTTAGCACAGAAGGCAAAATGTAATCTCTTTGAAGCCAGACTCTGTATCAAAGGCCTCATTCTCTGTTTCCTTGTGGTTAAATATCTGGAACATGAAATTCATAAACAAAACAAAGCAAAAGCTAACATTTTACTTTGTGCTTTAAGAAGCTTCCCCTTTCCCACTCTGCAATGGGTTCTTGTACCTGAAGCTCTCTGCTGGGCTTTGCCAGAGTTTTATCCACTGGCACTGGGGGAATCTGGCCACTGTCCCTGCACCCTCTCCTCATCCCAGCAACCCTGAATTGCCACCTGCAGCCACCAGTCTCCCTGCCAGCCTCTGCCATGTCCCTACATCATCAGCAGGGATTAAATATTAACCTGAGGAGTGATGATGCCCACATGGCAGCACCTGCCAGACCCGCTCTCTCAGTGTGCTCATGGTCATGGGGACAAAAGCCACTGGCAATGACCACAGAGAACACACTGGTGTATCTTTAACTTGTGTCCCCAGGGCAGGTTTACCAGCAGGCTGTGCTTTGCAGGATGCTCTGCAGGGCTGGCCCATGCAGGGGGTACATTTTGGGAGTGCTCCAGCTCATGGTGTCTCCTTTCCCATGCCAGCTGGGGCAGTGGTTACCAGCTGGCCAGGCTGTGGGTACCAGGGTTGCTTCCTGGCAGGTCTCTGCCATGATGTGCTTTTTCCCTGTGTGTCAGATCCCAAGAAACACCAGGGCCTGGCAGATGGAGCATCCCACGGGATTACTCCATACTGGTGGTGTGCTCAGGGAAAGCACTGTTTGTGCAGAAAAGTCCAGCGAGGGAGAAAATTACCTCCTACTCAAAAAAGAGACTTCTGCTGCGATCAGGAGGGGTGGGTAGGAAGCTCTCTCTGGGTTCCCTAATCCACACAGACAGATGTAAAGCAGGAGGCAGTTTTGGATTGGGCAGGTTGTAACCCCTCTCCAGGGATGCCTCAGCCAGGATGAAACCTTCCGCCTCTCCACGGGTCTGCTCCCACCTCCAGGACAGACAGGGCTGGATTCTCCTCCCTCTTCACACAGCACACAGGAGGGGAGAAGCTGGGGGAGGCCCCGTGGAGGTCACAGGGAGCAGCAGCAGAGGTGGGCTGGCTCAGTGAGCCGTCCCTCACTCACCATCCCATCGACGGCGTGATCTGCCCCACTCCTCCGGGGGGCAGGGGGTAGAAACCAGGGATGTCTGAGGTCTGCGAAGGACGGTGCACTCCTGCAGGAAGGAGAAGGAGAGGAGTTGAACGTGGCACTGCACTCCCTGGGTGACCCTGCTCGCTCCCAGCCCCCTGGCTGCCCCATCTCTGGGCACTTGTGGACAGCCACATGAAATAACCATCTGCAGGGTGGTGTTCCTTCTGTGGGGATGAGGTGGGGCATCCACATTGCTGCAAAATCACAGACATAAGGGGGGGTGGAGGAGACATCTTGCTCTTGCACAAGCATCACAGCTGCTCCATGCCACCCTGAGGCCAAGGAGCTTTGGTAAGGATTTGGCTGACTCCAGGCATCCCTCTGCCTTTCCCAGAGAGCCCACTCAGGTGCTCAGTGGATGGTCAAAGCCATTCCTGTGCTCCCTCTCCATCAGTCATCTGCAGGACCCCCCATGAGCAGCGGGGATGTTCCAGCAGGCATCACTTCCAACTTAATTTTAAGCAATTTGAGTTCAAAACAATTGTTCTGCAGCTCTGTGGGTGCCAAGGAGCTATGGAGGTGGGTATGGTGCCAGCTGGGAATTCACCCTTTGCATGGGGAATCCCTGTGTGATCTTCAAAGCCTCTGGCACAGCAGCATGGCCAGGGGACAGGGCTGCAGCACTGCTCCCTTCCTAACTGGGCTGGAAAACATCCTGTGCTGCCTGGGGCTGTGGGTGGGACTCAGACAACCACGGTGCTGCTGGCAAAGCCAGCCCCCAGCTGACCCCCGGACTGGGAACTGGAGGGGTGCAGGGGCTGAGCTCTGACAGCAGCCCAAGGTAGTGATGGCTGCTACTGAGCCTCAGACAAAAACTGGGAACCGGGATTATCCAGTGGCCATCCTGGATGACAAACACATGGACTAAATTGGTTAGAGTTACAAGCAGTTGCAACTGGATTTTTCTCCTAGGTGTTTAAATGATCCCTTATTAATTAGGAATGATACCAAGTGCATTTTATTAGGAGTCAGCTAAAATAAATATATAACTGACCTGACAGGAATCTTTAACCTAGTACAAGATTTCCTTCCAGTGGGACTCAGTGGCCCATGGAGGGTCAAACAAAACGAGGCCTGCCCAAGGCAGCTGATGGAACGTCCTCAGATCTGCACCCCCAAGAACAGGAGTTGCATAAGCCAGAGCACAAGTTATTCTTGCTGGCCCAGTGGTTGGGCCACCAGCCACTGACTCAGAATTCCTGCTTGTATTTCCTGGTCTGTGTGTCCTTGGGCTACTGTGAGAAACTTTAAAGGGATGCTGGGAGAATGAGTATGAGAGTGCCTCTCAAGCACTTACACTGGGTGGTAGTGGGAGCTGTTTCAGTGATGAAAACACAGATGGGGCACATCCCCATGAACACAGGAGAAAACCCTCACCAGCAGTGCAGGCATGGGGCATGTTGATCACAGCCGCACCACAAAGGCAGGACCCAGCTGAGCATTATGGGCTGAACCTTTCCTTGAATTGCACAAGGTGGGTCTCTGGGACAAACAGACTCCCTGTGTCTGTAGAAGCACAAGACAAATGGGAATGTGGACAGTGCCTGCACTGAGGGCCAGGTGGGCAGCCCAGGGACAGTGTCCAGGAATGACTGACCCACAGCAGAGCTGAATGCTCAGGGACTGCTCCAGTGCCAGCTGTAGCCTCCACAGAGGGGTACAGCCAGCTCTGCCCTTGGGTGAGCAGCTCTTGTACCACTTAAGGTTTCCCAGGCTGACAGTGAGTGCCAGGAGGCAGCTCTGGGAGGGGCAGAGCTCTGCCAGGTGCAGCAAAGGCAGCAAGGGGGAAGGTGTGCTGGGCTACCTTCCTGCACACTTTCCGTCAGACTCAACTCATTACCTGAGCTTTCAGTAGGTTCATTTTGTTCACTCTTTCTATTTTTCTGCTGAGTTTATTATGCTCTGATGGCTGACAAGCAGTGTGCTGCCTGGAAGACAACCAGGATGTGCCTGGGTATCCCTTACACCAGACCTAAACCCCACCATCAGCATCCCTGATGAGTCCAGAGTGTGGCCTCTAGGTTCAGACCAGGGTCCTCCTGCCAAGAGCATCCTCAATAACCCATTGTTTTATCAGTGATGTTAACTTGGTGAAGCTGATGCCTCTGGGACCGTTTGGATCACTCCTGGATGGAGGCTTTTGCCCTCATCACAACAATTGGTTTTGTGCCTCTGTTTTGGCACTGTCCTCCTTCCTGAATGCAGCTTGACAAAAAACTGTCAGGTTTTTTTTGCTTTCCCATGAAATCAAGCCCAGGTTTGTGTAAAAAACTGGGTAATCTGAACAGATGTTCTGCACTAAGGTAAGGTTGAGAAAAGTTTGATTTTACACTCAGTTTGCCAGGAACCCATGAAGAATGATGGAATGATGGACTGGGGTGAATTCCTCAACACATACTTGTATTTATAGTTTATTTTCGAAGGTTTAACCTCAACATACTGTACTTTCCTCTGTAGCCTCATGAGCCAATTGACACAGCCTGGGCTCACACAGGAACACAAAAAGCCAAACCAGGTGCCAACCACATAACATGTGGCTACGGGGACACACATGTCACAGTCCAGTCAACTATCAGACACCAATCCCATTTAGTCAAAATATTTCCTGTTTCAAGCATTTATTTTCTCAAAATGACAACCTGACAGCAGTTTGGGTATGAGTCAAAGGAAAGATTACTTTCCATTTTCTGGTTGACTCTTGTGCATTATCGTGCAGGCTCTGGTGTGATCTCAAGGTGCAGGACAGCTTGTACAGAGAACTGAACACACTCCATCAGCAGGGCTGGCACTTTTGGTATCAAACTGCTCATGGCCAGATCACAAAGCATTGCCAATAAATTAAAAATAACCTTCTCCTGCTAAGCTGACCAAAGGTACTGATTTTTCTCATTGATTTGGGAGCAGGAAGGTGCCAGCCTCACTGGTCTCCAGCTGAGCCCCCTCCCAGCAGAGAGGTCCCAGTGGTGGCCTTACCTTGTTTCTGGTTGATGTCAGCAGGCAGGTGGGGGGAGTGGGAGCCGTGGCTGAAGTGCTCGTTGCTGTAGGGGATGAGCGGGGTGAGCGGGTGCACTCCGTGCGATGGCTGCACCACGGGAACTTTGTTGGACTGCAAGACACAACCATGGACAGGACTCAGAAATCATCAGGATCCACCTGCAAGGACAGCCAGTGCCCTCTGCAGTCCTGCTGTTGCCAGCAAGGCTGGGAATAGCTAAAAACACTACACAAACACTAAGCAAATTACTAAACAAACACTGCAGCATCCTGCAAAAAAACCACCAAAACCTAATCCATAAACTGAGCAGGGAAAACAGCTGGAGATGATTTCTTGGATAAGTGGAAAACAGATCAAACCAGCTTGAAGTTTTCAGAGTTCAGAACTTTTTTTTCCATTCATTGCCAGTATCTTTTACTCCAGGATGAATACTACAAGTTACCCAATGCAAAGCTCTTGTTCTCTGTCCTGGACTATCACAGGGTCTAAATCTGGACTTTCACAGTGAATCCTTCATATTCACTCTGGAAGTCATGTTTAGGTTTTCTTAATCAGGGCTGTCATTCAAGGACAGACACAAGATCACAGAATCATTTCGGCTGGAAAAGACTTTATAGAGATCAAGTCCAGCCACTAACCCAGCACTGCCAAGGCCACCATTAAACACCGACGGTAATGTCTTTGAAAACAGGACATGGTCAGCAGTTAGCCCTTGGGCTGAAATCCCTGTTGGACTGAGCTCCAGTGCTGGATAAGGACCAGAGGGAGCTGAGGTAATGCTGGAGATGCAAAAAATCCAGGAAAAGTAAGCAAATAAAAATCTGTCTCCTCTTGTAGCTGCTCCTGGTTACATGCAGCACGCTGTCAGAGCCCAACACCTTGGAAAATGCCCTTTTTGGTGAACACAACAGGAAGTCCTCCTATGTGTTGGAGAAGAGAGAGGGGAACCTGTTTGGAAGAGCTGCACAGCAGCAAGGAGCACACACAGACACACAGACACACACACTCTGCCTTCTACGCAGCCTCCTCGCCTCGAGCGTCTCGTGCTGTTTCCTACATGCCCAGTTTCGCCCATGGCTGCCTTTAAATCCAAACTGACTTCATCTTGGTGGTGGAATGTTAGGTAGATAAATCCACAAAAGAAACCAGGACTAACAGCACTCCAGAACAGGGTCAGTTTGGGAATGGAGCAGGACAGACAGCTCTCCAGGGGCTAGGAGCTGGACATGCCAGCCAGTTTTCAGCAGTCTCATTGGGATGTCTACAGATGATTTGCTGTGTGACTTTTGACAAGTCATTTAGGATCTCTGGACTTAATTCACTGGTGCCTTCCACTTTGGTAATGATTTGCTCAGGCAGAATGAGCACAAAGCTCTGGCTGGCTTTGGTGAGGGAGGCACAGACAGAGACAGTGGCTCTGATCAACCTATCCTAGACCCATTCTGGCTGCTCCAAGTGCACTGAGAACCCTGGGCAAGTCCTGTGTTTTGCATCCCTGCTCTGAGGAGGAAACCCATGAAGCGGAAAAGCAAACAGACCGATGGAGACGCTGCTTTACATCTGCCTTTCCCACAAAGGTTTGCTCATGCAAATAAAAACCAAGAGGCACGCAGGTTTGCATTTGAGAATGAATGAAAATCCTAATTCCTGGTGCTTAACAGGTGTAGGTTTACTGCATACAGTGGGGTACTGGGAATGTAATCCCCCTTCCCAGCACAAACTGGTGTGGCACATTCCTGTCCTGCAGCAGGGCTATGGCTTATGTGGTTTTCCCATCAAGAGCAGCACTGGGCTGGTTCCTGCTTAGTTAAACACATGTTTGGAGCTCTGAGCTCTTTCTATTCTCAGCCATGAAATGAGATGAAGAAGAGCTTTTCAGTGATATTTCTAAAATTAGCTATGGTTTAGCTTATTTAAGAGCCACAAAGCCTAAATGAGGGATATGCAGTTCTACGTGTACATTCTAACAAGACACTGGAGCAGAACAATCTCAGTGTTGAGCTGTTTTGAAAACCTCAACTCAAGCATTTCTTCTGTTCAAAGTAGGGCAGATCTTTCTTTCCCATTTGCCTCATGCCTGATCCAAAGCACAGCACCATTCAGCAGCCAGCCTGGCTGACTGATGACTGTGAACAGCTTTCAGAGCAATGGCAGGAGACAAGGGATTGGAAGGTTTGATTTTTAAGGTCCCTTCCCACTCAAACCATTCTGAGATTCAACAGTCCAGGGGTAACCTGGTGGTACAACAAGACTTGCAGCTCAATTATTCAGTTTTTCCATCAGTTCAGATGGCAAACAACATGCTGCACCAGTAAGGAGAGCTGCATTCCCCATGACCCTTCTACATTTCCCCCTGCCTCACTCAAAAACTTCTCTACTCTCTAAAGCCATAAAGATCTGGTGGAGAAGGATGGCCAGCAAGGAGACAAAAATTTCTGCAAGGGGCTATTTATCCCCCTATCCACATCCTCCATTAGGGAGTTTGTTACAAGAACCCATCTCCCAAAATTAAGGGAAAAAGGAAATGCTGCACAAAAATGTGGAGAAATAGAGAAAAACTCCATGTTGATCCTGGTTCAAAGACTGCAGCTGCCAATGATTGTGGCCCATGGCCAGGACTGCAGCTCCTGGTCTCCCCCAGCTGCACTGTGAAACCATACCTGGCTTACAGAAATCCACATGCCAGAGAAACAGGATCAATTCCCCATTTTTTGCAAGGTCTAGATTGTGTTCCTGCAAATCAGCTGCAGCATGTGAACATTGAAGAGGCTTTTCAAAGCCAGAACTTAGCAACTGACGATGTTTCATGCCATAAAGCTGCCCTGATGTAAATGTTTTCTCCCAGGAGGACTGAAGTGACACAGGGCAGTGGTTTGGTGCTCCCTCAGAAGGTCCCCTGGGAGGACAGTGGGTGCTGCTGCTCAGGACATCACAGGGGCTGTGCTGTGGTTTGGTAAAGCATCTCATTTTGTCTCTTGGGTTTCAACACAGCCCAGAGCTGCAGTGACAGAGCTGCTCGCTACCCAACCACCAAAAATAACGCTGCTGGTGCCAAACATCATGGCCCCAACACCAATGTGTCACCTCTTGTCCTTCAGCAGCCATGGGGGGACCTGAAGGGGCTCCAATGACAGCTTTGCCTCACCTCTTCCAGCACAGCCCCTTGAGGACAGGTTGGGGAATGATCTGTGCAGCCATGGCCTTGTACAGAAATGAGGAGACACATTTACAGCAACTGCAGAATGGCATTTCCAGAAGGGATGGAGCAGCAGGATGGGGTTTGCAAGCCTGAAGGGCTTTTCCCCCTCTCTCAAATTTGCTAAATTGCAGCTCTGCTGAGTGCTCAGCTCCCATGTGAGCACTGCCCCCTCCTCCTCTGTGTGCTGAGCCAGGCACTGATGCTGCAGTGCATCCCCCTCCCAGCACCAACCATCCCACCAACCTCCCTGAAAATGACTGAAAAACCCAATGCTATGAGGGAAGAAGATCCCTCCTTGAAGCCAAGATGTGACTTTAATAATCAGAGGTAATTGGAGGAGCAAAGAGAAAAGACAGTAGCTTTAATTATGAAGAGAGATTAACTGTTGGCAAGGCAAAATTAGATCTCCCCAGTCAAGCCTGGGTGGGTGATTGTGATGGGATCTCAAGGCCAGACAGAAAACTCTCTGTCCTCTGAGCACATGCAAACCCAGTGGATATTGCATAGAAGGATCACCCTCACCACTGGGGTTTCAGTGTATTTGGGCTCCAAGGAGCCTGATCAGGCTCAACATCCTTTGCCTTTGCTCCCAATCTCCATCACACATGCTCTGGCCACAGGAAGCAGTGGGGTTATACAAGCTGCTGGGATGCTGCTGGGTTGATCAGAACTATCAATGATTTTCATCAAAATGTGGGATTTTCACTAGAGAATGGTATGAGATTATAATCAAACATTTTCTGGAAAGCACCTTGTGTTAGCAAGTATTTTAATTAATGTTTTAGAGACTTATCTATTTAGTCATGACATGCTAAAAATGAGTAGTTTTACTTTGCTGGTTTGATGGAGAATTTTTCTGTTAAACTTTAAAGCTAACCTTAAAAAAATGTAGCATAGAAGGCCAAAACTCAAAATTTGAGTGAAATGATCAAACTAAAAAATTTCCATGGCTGATAAAACTCTTTGACTTTTAAACTCTGAAAATATTGTAGGAAAAAAAAAACATTTTTTTTTCTTTTTTTTTTTGCTTGGATCAGTTTAGGAAAAGAAGCAAATGGAAAAAAAAGAGGATGTTTTGTAACCTGTGAGAAGTATTCCTTGCTACAACTGAACACAGCTGTTAAAAGCAGAGGTGGTCACACCACACTGCCTGGGGGTTGCTGAGGATCCCAACATCCCACCAGTGCTGGGCTCCACTGCTGCTTTTATGGATGGGAATGACTTTAAGTAATTTTCTAGCAGAAAACAATTCAGAACTAAAATAAAGCAGTTTAACTCTACTGCCCCTTCCAATAGTGAAAAATGTTAAATTTCATACTGTAAAATTTCCTTTGGGGATGTGACTTCAAGGGGTGCTGTGCTCCCCAAGGAGGATACCAGAGTGCTGCCTGCCTTGCACAAACCACAGCTCCCAGAACATCAGCCAACATCCCAAGAGCTCAAACTGCTGGAAAACCCTGCACTGGGGGAGCCACTGTCCATCCATGGGTGCAGAGGAGCCTGCAGGGAGAGGAAGGTCCCACAACCCCTTTGTGACCCTTGGAGCTGGTGGCCCATGACCCTGGCTGTGCTGAGGAAGGCTGGAGCAGGCTGCAGGGAGCAGGAGCAGCAGGAGCAGCAGGAGCTGGTGGCCAGGGTGAGCGCTGTGGTTTCCAGCCTCGCTGGGGAGCCGAGCCGCAGTCAAGTGAAATTACTCACATCACTTTCAAATTTTCCCACGTTGCCAGCCCCAAAGACAGAGAAATGAAGAGCTGTGGGCCAGCCCAGAAGTGGCCTGTGTGTAGCAAAGGGCCTGGCCAAGGGAAGGGAGATGGGGCTGGCAGCTGTGCCATGCTGGTGGCCACCATCACCATGGCAGAGGGGGGTTTTGGCAGTCCCAGAGACCTGTGTGTCACTGGCTGAGCTCTGTGTC